TTACCATGAGAACAAGATACTGCTGCAGTGTTATGACAGCAAAAAGTATTCAGAAGATGAAACACCCCACAAGGCTCAACAGAAACATTACAGTTTTTCTCTATAACACTGCAGCCTACCAGTCTCTCACTCAGAGCTTCTCAGTGCTCATCCAGAAGGAGGTGCTTATATGTAAATTGCAGCAGGTGATTTTCCTGTGCCGTGCATGGATCTGGTCAGTTCGCTGGAAGTGCTCTGTTTATCTGTGTGCTTTGTGGTGTTAATCTATGTTAAATGATGTTAGCTCAAAAGCAGGCTATAAAATCTAGAAGCCTTGTGGGACTGGGACATTTCATGCTTGTCTAGTGTCCTCTTACAGGCTGCAAAGTGCAGAGGGCCTTTATTCAGTGTTTAGTTTTCCCACCTATGTGCTTCCTCTGTTTTCTCCTCTGTCTCAGTCTTCAGCATCAACAGATGGCGCAGGATGGCAGCGATTAGTCGGAACTGGTGGTCATCCTCCTTCCAAACCAAAGATGGAGAAAAACATGAATTCATACAGTTTCACTGTTCAGAGAAAAAGCAAAATAAGGTGAAAAAACAACAACACAAGTGACCAGCACAGAAGCTTGGAAGCAAAGGCCTAACAGCAAAAATATAAATCTGAAAATTGAATGAGCCATAACAACTGGTCTAAAGAGCCAGAGACACAAAGCACAGATAGTCTTAGGTGAAGGCCTTTTTTCTTGGGATTCACAAGAGGAAGAGGAAGTTTGGATTTCTAAGCCAACAACCAGGACAGCAGGGTGAAACATGAACCTAAGAACTACACTTCCTGCCATCTAGATGTACACTGTGTCAGCTAACATGTGCCCCCTTCAATCCAAATTACATTAAATATGGAAAGTATGTTTGAAATACCCCCTTAGACAAGGCTGCAAAGCCGCAGATATAAACCATTATAACTACATCAACGTCAAGTGAACACATTATATTTATGTATTATACTGCATTATAAGTTTTGGCATGTGTTTGTTCACTGTGAAAAAGAATGAGTGTCTCATGGCTGTGCACCTTTTATACTTCTAGAACTCATCCATCTATTTATAAAGACTCCCCCTCACACCTGATCTTAATTCCACCACCGTCATCACTGCTCTGTCCCTTTAAGTACCAAACCAGACACAGCTTATCACAAATTATGTTTGTGTTACAAATAATACATTGCGTATGATTTGATGTGAAATATTTATGTTCCTGATACAGTACATGATTTGTGTATAAACTGAAGTTGTCATTTTGAATTGCAATGTTTAAATCAAAGTGTCACATTTACATTTCAGGGATTCAGTTGATGTGCTACTGAGTAGACAACATTTAACTGTAGTGGAGTGTGGTCCAGGACAGTCTAATCCATAACTGAGCAAACACCTGAGCCAGAAACATTTACAGTATGTTGCAACTGATGCACATACCCGACCTGCTCTTAACACCACCATACAACGTATGGAGTTTGAGAACAAGCCCTGATGAGTGACATGAAATGTGAACCTTTACTGTAACGCACTAAACACTCACCTCACCTCCAGGGTCAGACAGTGTGAGGTTGAACAAGGCTTTGAGTGCTTCCATCGCTCGCTCATTGTCGTGTGCAGGCATGGGCATTGCCTGTGGACCCGGATGGGCAGCTTCATAGCGACCTACCCAGCACACATGCAGGGTGTGCTCCAGCACCTCTGTCAGCAGTCTCACTGCATCCCAGTCTTGCCTCAGAACCCCTCTAATGTCAGGGCGCAGGGCAGACAACAGGAAGAGAAGACGCAACGTGAACAGGCCCACCTCGTGGTGCCATGTGTGGGCCGTACGCAGGCTGGCACACAGACCATGAGCGAGGTTCACATCTACACTAACCTGCTGGGCTGCAGGACTGTTGTACACCACGTTGCATAGGCACTTTAAGGCCTCCACCACCACCTTCTCCTCCTCCGTTGAGGGTGTGTCTTCCTGAGTGTTTTTCTGGTTGCTGTCTCCTTCCTCTCCAGCATGCAGCTTTGCCATCTTTCCCAGAGTCAGCATGCCTTCCTTGGTGGCTACAGGTGCAAGGATACCTTTGTCTCTGGACAGGATTCGGAGTGTCTCCAGACATGTCTTCTGACAGCTGGGCTGCACCTGTCTCCCAAGAACCGTCAACACACTCTGACACAGCTTCTGAGATGACACAGGCAGAAAAACACTCACTATAATTCGACAGGACTACCCTAATCGTTTATTTGACAGCCTGCTTAGATAACTACTACTTACGCTGCGCAGGGCTTCTTCTTTTTGGTCGAAAGTGAAGGTGTGACTGTTCTGCAATAGAAAGGATGCTCATTGTTGACACCAAACAACCCAGCCCTACATTTCAGTCACATATTAAACACAACTTATTAAAAATGTCAGGTTTAATTTTGTAACACACAACACATTTGAAATTTGAAACGATGTTTTCAAGAAGCCTTAAAAGCAATTGCTACGGTTTGGTAATATTGCTGTATAATTCTACGAACAGAAACATTTTTGTGAGCAGGTAGCGTTAGCATTGTCTGCGGTGTCAGCATTAGCAGCACTGTGCAAGTATTATCACGGTCCTGTTATGCTCATCCATATGTTTGCTGTGGAATGATCGATTATGAAACATCATGATATCATATGACCGCTTGTATCAGTTTACTTGACTATTAGGTTGCTTAGCTAACTCAAAGCTAGTATAGCTGTTTAGCTGACTAGCTAACGCTAGCGCTGCCGATTGTTGACGTAAAAACAAGCAGAGCCGTGGCTCACCTCTCGATTATACTGCTGCAGAAGCTTCTCGACTTCGTCTCTGTTGAAACTTTCAAGCTGCGACAGGATATTATTCAAATCCATTATTAATATCTGAAGAAAACGGATAGTTAGTTTGCCTTCCACGTTACCACGGAGTGTTGCGCAGCTAGCTCGCTAGCTGGCAAGTTAGCTTAACGTGTGTCAGTCAGGTCTGCTGCTGTCAACAAGAACACTCCCCTGGCTCTGTCAACACAGCTGTCCTGCTGGTTATACTCATAGTACGAATACAGTATCCAAAAAGAATTCCAAGCAGCAGCCTGATAGTATATCCTGCTGCATAAATTACAAAATATCTCATCTGTAACACACACAAATATACCTAACTTTTAACAAGTAGAAGAACACGTGGCTTGTGCATGTGTATTGTAACTACTAGATGATTTATTTGGTCATTATTATTTAAAAAAAAAAAAAGATCAAATTAATAAAAGAATGGTGAATGAATAAATCAGTACTGTGAGGGTATATAAACATGTAAACATGCACACCTTAAATGAAAGAAATAAGTTTTGACTTTCTGGTTCATGTTGTGCAATCTGAAAATTAAGCCAAATCAGACAAATCAAAATTAGCCAGTTGTTCTGATTTTATGAGTCCTGACTGAGGTTTGGGTGTTCATAGTCACTTGGTGTCAGTATTTGTTTAAATAGATTTGACTTTGGGAATATCCTGTTTAGCCTGAAGTTGCTCTGTTTGCATCACCTATTAAACTGACTGTGACTTAATTAAAACAGTCACCTTTTATTCATGTGAATCACAGCCAGACTTTAAACTACCAACAAGTGTGAGTGTGGATGTGATCCTGAACAGGAATATTTTATTAACAATGCACTACTTCATGTGAATACATTAACTGATACACATTATACTTTGTCTATGTATAAAAAATACTGCAAGTTTAATAATTTATACATTTTGCAAACAAAGAAAAATTACATTATGATATTTTATAGTGTTTTAATGCATGTAACTATTTTTAAAAGCAAAAAGGGAGGTATTATAACCACTGTAGTGGTGTTGGTGAGTGAAACCTGCTGGTTCGACAGCACACGTTGTCCTCGTGCACACTCTGAAATCTTCATCTAATACTGATACTCAGGTCTGGTGTTAAAGTCACTTGTTTTGTTTTTTGTTTGCTTGCTTTAAACATGTTTTCTGGATTCAAAATTGTTGTGGGGAAACCTACAGGATTTCAGAGGGACATTACACAAATGGATCTATGTTCCAATAAATACAAACCTTGGGAGGGGTCAGAGGTCAAAGGTTACGAGACTGAAGCGCAATGACCCCAGCACAGCAGGACATTGTCTTTATAGAAATGTAATTCTTTCAGCAGTGTGGCCCCAGCAGCCCAACCCCCCACTGTGTTGCCACTGTGGGTGCATGGAGATAAAGAACTTCAGAAAAGGCAACTTCAAAATGTAAATCGGACAAAACGCAATGAAGAATTTCAAAAGGAAACACATCAGTAGTTATAAAGTCAACATATTAGACAAATTTGTGAAATGTACCTTGAACAATTCTATTATAACATTTTTATCAATAGCAAGTCTTAGAAAAATATCAACAGAGCAGCACTTAAAAGATTAAAAAGCTTCATGACTTTGCTTCAGTGCTGACATTGATTATTAAGATACAATAATGTTTTTACTATTTTGTTAACATGTGGACATTTTTTGTGCATAATTTTGTGCATTCACTCCATGAACAGAACAAAGATAAATTTGAAAAAAGGAGACAGTTTGACAACGATGACTCAAAGCTTTAGATTGTGAAATTATTTATGTGGCAACATTTTTCCCACATACACATCAGTTTCAACTGTGAACGTTTAACAGTCACGACAGACGGTTTTCAGTGCTTTTATTTACAGAAAAGTGACTAGACTTCATGTTACTGTACACTTTGATATTTTCCATTTTTATAAATACCCATAGGGTAATAGGTCCTCAGTAGCTTTGAGTGCATTATAAAACACACAACCCTAGGTTAATGCGTCCTTTACTAACCATACAAAACAGAGAACATAGTAACATAGAAAATAAAGGATACACCATGTTACAAAGTTACAGAAAATACATACTATGTACATATATTTATTTATTTATATATATATCTATGTTTGATGTCACAGGAAAACAGCAGAAAAGCTTGCAACAAAATACACTCGTACAGTTGTTTTTGAGTCACAGCATTCAACCGTTAAAAAGGCTATCCAAGATGAAGACACCTTAACACATTGACCAAAGTCTTTCATGAGTCTATAACTGTCACTTATGATGTTTTGGCTTTGTGCCACTGTTTGTGGTCTCCCAGGAGAATGTTAAGGCAGTACAGGTCATCATCACTCTGTGGCAGACAAGATTTATCTGCTGCAACAGGCCCATGACAAAATGCTGCACAGTGCTGAGCAAAAAGAGAAGGCAGCAGTGTTGCTGAGATTGTACTGATGTCAGTGACAGCTTAAAGTACACTGATCCTTCAGCCGCTGACTACTGACTGTTGGTTGGTGGGGTGATCTGTGCACTGACTTGTGAGACTGACAAGGGAAACTGGCAGAGGTGTACATTCCTAAAAACAAAGGCACAGCTTGGCAGCAGCATTGCACTCTTAAAATGATTTTTCTGCAAGTTTTGACAATCTGCGCGATTCTTTATATCTTCTTCAATCAGTTGCTGAAGAAATTTTTAACAAATTACACCACAATCATCAGAGTGATTGATGTACTATAATGAGACTTTTTAAAAATATCAGTACATCCATATTGTGTTCCTGTTATCTTGCATTGGTACCCTCCCCTCTCTGCTCCTCCTTTTTTGATGTACTTAACTGCAAGTGTTCAGACTTTGCATTCACCAGTTTGGCAGGCCTGGAGTTTGTACACGGCTGTCCAGATCAGCGTTTAAAGGCTATTTCGCCCAGCCTGTGGTGGCCTCTCCGTTGATGTATGCAAAGCCAGGGAAATGCTGCGAGTGTTCATACTCTGAGTTCCTGCGTGGGCCCAGGGGAGAGTACATGTCCCCAGAGGTGGCATAGCGGGTTGAATGCATAGGTGGGCTGGTGTAACAGCTGTTAGCTGGTGACACATCTGGCCACCGGGGGGCGACAGGTGTGGGGTGCAACCGCGGAGTGCTGCCCATCAAGCACGGCTCCATGCGAGACATCTGGCCGTTGAGCTGGTACTGTGGAGGCAGAGGAGAGAAGTTAGTGGTGCGGTAAAGTCGTTGGTTGAAGTCTTAACTAATCCATAAATTTTTTTTATCTATACATTTCAAAACTGTGAAAAACACTCATTATAAATCTCCAAAGCCCAAGGCAACATAGTCACAGCTCATTTTCCACAATCAAAGGCCCAAAACGCTAAGATGTTTAGTTTTCTCTTATTTAAGACAATGAAAAGGGATATTTGAAATGGTTGATCAATTATTAATAGTTTCAGATTAATTTCTTGTGAACTGACAACAACTGATCGACTCTTTCAATTCAGGATTAGATCATTACCAAATCTACAAATTATGAAAGGCATTGAATGGGAAAAAAGTTCTTAGTCCACTCACTGAGACAAAAGCAGTTCAAAGATTGGACACAAGACTGATAATAACTGTGATTTAAGGGAGAATTTCAAATTTATTTTTTAAAATTTTTGACCTGAACATCCTTCATTGTTGATCCATCACTAAAAATCTTCCATATGTTTTTAACCCTCTTTGACATCCAAAGCTCTAGCAGGATTTTTAGAGACAGTTTAAACCATGAGTTCAACAATACCTCAACATAGATACCTCAAAACCACTCCCCAAAATACCAAAAAGAAGAAAAACTTTTAAAAAATTATTTAAAAATCTCATTTTTAACTGTTCACAGTTAAATTTTATAGATATATACATACATATATGCCTATTTTGGAGAGATAAATGAGAACAGCGATACCACTCTCATATGTGTTTGTTAAGCTTAGTTTAGCTTAGCATAAACAGCACAGCCAAGGGGAAACAGCTAGCCTGGCTCTGTCTCAGACAAGAAATTGCCTAGCTTTTACAGTAAGTGCCCTTAAAACACAATTTTTACACTGCAGTACCCCGTTTCCCCATTTCCAGTGGTTATGCTAAGCTAAGCTAACTTGCTACAAGCTGTCCATGCAGCATACAGATATCAGAATGGTACCAATCGTCTCATCTTACTCTCCACCAGAAAGCAAATAACTACACTTACCAAGATTATAAACTATTCCTTTAATCACGGTCTAAATGCTGTCAGGTATAAACTGGTGGAGACTAACTTTAAACTGTAGTAGGTATATAAACTCCCACAAAATTTCTGAAACCCCCAAATTCTCTAGAGCATTTACAGAGGACATGGGCTCAGTGTCTTCTAAAGCAGCCACACCCCTGCTGATATCACATCTGATTCTGTATTAACCATGTAGCAAATGACCCTGCCAATGGTAATTTCCTGTCAGGGGAAATTGCTTCACCAGCTGTACCACACTGGCCAATATAGAAAATTAAACCACTTATGAAAATTAAGCATCAGCTAAATAAGTGGTTTTCTTGTGTTATTGTTGTTGCCTATGGTGACTGACCACAAACAGTTCTAACAAAATCTGCCTGTTGACTAAAATATTTCACACAGATGGGGATCAGACAAAGTTTTCTGTTTGTTTCAGCTCCATTCTCAACCTCACACAGAGACAAAGCACAGGCATTGTGCCCGAATTAAGCTCAGACCAGCCTAAAAAAAAAAAAGGAAGTAGGACCCCGTTTCCCTTTACTCACTAAATATAAACACGACAGTTCATTCCATTATGAGGGGCCAGGGTACGGAAAAAGACGATCAGTGCAGGTCAAAGAGCGGAACAGATGGCTCAGCTGCGTCTTGTTCATCAGCAGAAAAGAGACCATTGAATAACAATATTTTCATAAACACCCCTTTGCTTTGCGCTGTGGCTAGTGGCGCAAACAGATGAAGAGACTATTGAGAACTGGAAAGCGGAGTAACAGAGCCGGGCCCCTCTCGGCCCCGGCTGAGCCACCTTTCTCTGTCCGGTTCCACTAGGTGGAGAACCACTGTGAGCACTGGGGCCCAGCTGATCCCCTCCCACTATAAAGGCAGCAGAGACTGGAGGGCCCTTCACAGGAAATTACCATCAAAAGAGTAAATGCACACCAGTCGCCACATGAGCTACAACATCAGTGACTCCATCTCATCACAATAATCCCTTTTCTCATCTGTAAATCTTTGTCTTTAGCTCAGAGCGTGAAGCCAGTCTGATGATGTCCTCATTCAAAAAACATAAGAGCTGCTAAAGTGCAAAAGAGTGCTTCGAAGTTTCCTGCACACTGACTATTAAGATTGACATATTTTTACACATAATGTATGTATTGCTGTACTGTAGCTATCTTAAATCTAAATGGCCAGCATAACCCAGTTGCAAATATACTTAATGCACATTAGCTGCAGTTCAGCCATTCACACACCCATAATCAAACACGTTATTACAAACATCTCTCTCTTCTCTTTTTATTACTGAACAGACCGAGTGAGTGGCCAGTTATCTAAATACAGTTGCATACAGCTTGTAATCTGGCTGGCAAAGCTTGTCTTTTAGTTCTCTGAAGACAAATTTGGATTTTAATTACTTATCTAATATAGGTGTTAACATTTTTGTCTTTATTTGACAGTTGATAGTGAAGAGGTGGACAAGAAAAAAGCGAGGTGAGATAGAGAGAGAGAGAGAGATATGACATGCAAGAAACGCCTCAGATGGAATCAACTCATAGATGTTGACAAGGTGTTCACAGCTTTAGTTACTAAAATCAACAACATTTAAAAATCCCTAAACTGATTTTGTTAAAGTATTCAAAAGAATTCAGATTCATTTGGCTAATTCCTGATTTGATTTACATTTATTTAAAATGGGACTGAAACCATCTCTTGGGTGACTGACCTGTGCAGATGAGCGGTAGGCTGTGTAGTGGAGGGGGGCTGGGATTGCTGGCTCATGGGCCAGACTTGAGTACTGGCTCTGGATGGAGTGAGGACATAGTTGTAGCTACCAGTATACCTAGAATGGAGGAGGTCCGACTTAATCAAAGACAATTACACAAAATTTAAATGTTTCCAAAATGACTTGTATATGAATAAAATAATTTGAAAAACCATAATTACCCATGCTCCTCTCTGTGGCTGTAGACTGGCATCCGATGGGCTGAAGATGGAGGGGGGACTGGAGCACTGCTCCTCATACAGGGCAGCTGCTGTCCGGCCTCTGGAGCTGAGCCGCCTGTTGTCACTGTGTATGTAAGGGACCAGGTATATGACTGAACAGCGCCTGGTAGACACATATGCAGACATAAAGACAAATTTGTTGGCGCAGAGAAACTATGCGCAGTGAAGCCTGATTTCTGTGTGTGACTGTGAGGCCTGTCTCACCTGTGCTGGCTGTGACTGAGGTGTACTCCGGGGACACGGCGGCTGTGGGGGAGCTGTTCGAGGAGACGCCCACAGAGTGGACTGACCGAGCGGGAGAGTAGGATTCTGGAGATGGAGAAGCAGGAGTGGTTTCTGTCAGCGTTAACTCCTCCTCTCTCTCTGCTGAAGGTATCAAGGGATGACAATCACTTACTTTAATACAAGGTGGGCATCATATTTTGATGTTTAGGAGCAAAAACAAATCTGCAGTTACATCACATACACACGTATAAGGGTAAAATGAATGTGCCTAAATAAAACAATAATACCTGCCTGTTATAGAAGAAATAATTGCTGACTAAAGTTCCCTATCGCTCTGTTTATTATTACAGGTTTACTTAAAGCTGATATCTACTATTGAAAAAATATGCTGTGTATTTATTGCAGTAAATAAATAATATATAACAGAAAGGTTTGGATAAAGCTACACAGTTCCTCTCTGCACTTTCACCTCGCTGTGTGTAAAATAATAAACTGATGAAACTGAACCACATCATTTGCTCACTAAGCAGAAGAGACCAGACCAGATCAATAGCCAGATTATCATGATGGTGCACAAACTGTCAGGAAACAGTGAAAAATGTCCATCACAACCTTGATCCAAAACCAAACTTTTGAATTCATTATCACAGACAACACTTTGTACTTTAAAAACAACTTAAGCAATTCAAACAAGCATCTTGGAAATTTCCAGTGACATCATCAGGCAACTTAACAACTTGACAATCTATTGCACAATTTGCAATTGCAGGTGTACAGCCACTGGTTATTGATTTGCACTCGAACAAGCAGTCTCACCTGTGCTGCCCTCACCCTTCATGGCCCTCATGAGCTCATTGGCCCTCTCCTGGCAGTGCAGAGACTCCAGCAGGTAAAGCACGTAATCATCAAACATGAGATGGATCAAGTGGAAGGACCCTGCACACAGACACACAGGATGAGCTTCATGTGGAGAAAGACCTGCTACTGTATATAAAAAAACACTCTTACATAAAATTGATTGTCTTTTAAAAAGCAGATGAGTAATATGGTGACAGTGAGGTCCTTGGTCATGGGAGGGGGCAACAGAATGCCCGTGCATGTTTTGGGAAGAAGCATCTAAGTAATGACATCACATCCTGCAGACTGGCAGGACGGCTGCACAGAGTCACTGCCAGAAATATGTCAGCTGACCCTGGGGTCGCACGGAGGATGAGACCGTGGCATGTGAGGGGAGTGTCACAATTGTGTCATTGTGTTAGTCACTGCTGCAGCCATGCACATAATAATCACTTGTGGCCATTCAGGGGAGCTGGGTGTAATACTGACTGACCATAAAATGGAAAAGACAGGCAAACACACGGGGAGAGGGGAGGGGCAGCTTTTGTTAATTAGCTGTTTGTGCACAGAGACCTGCTTTATCAAAATACTGCAACCAGCTGTGTGTTTGATATTCACAGACTGGGGCAAAGGACAGAAGCAAAGGCAAGAGAAGCCATTTACTTTTCTTTTCTTTGTACAGCTCTTCACTTATTGCAAACCGCAGTCGTGCACAAAAAAGAATTCAAGCAACAGCCTTCCTTACTTCCTCCTCCTCCTCCTTCTTTCTCCTTATTTTTAACGTTCAAAAAAGAATTTTGAACTGTTTACTTGGTAGCGCTGAACCATATATATATATAGATAGGTTTTAGAAAGCTGAAACCAGTTCTGGTCATCAGTGGTGATATGGGATGGGAACATAGAAACGCCAGATATAAATGTGAGATGATTGGACTTTGGAAACAGGTTTGTCTGACAGCAGATCACTAGCAAGAAGAGTGACATTTTACATGGACATCCCTGGATCAGTGATATGAAACATTTATTTTGTAAGATTCATTTTTAAAATAGTTTCTAATTCCTTTTATTTATGGAAATATGATCTGATGATATTTGGCCTGTCCGTCCATTATCTATACCACTTATTCTGATGAGGTTCACGAGGGGGCTGGAACCAATCCCAGCTGACACTGGGCGAAAGGCGAGGTACAACCTGGACAGGTCGCCAGTCCATCACAGGGCTGACACTAATAGACAGACACCCACAGACACTCCCACACCCTGAGAGAACCCATGCAGGTGTGAGGTGACAGCGCTGATCACTGTGCCACCATGCCGCCCTGTTGATATTTGGTACAAATCTAAATTGCGAACATATTGTCTCATGGAAAGAAACTGCAGAGCCACATGTGGAGCAGAGTGTAAAATTATATAATATATATAACACCACTGCCATTAGCTATATAAACAGGCAGGTTTAATAAAATGTGTTATGTGATTTAACTGAGATTACAGTTGTTTTTAACTATTTAATGCTCATTATATGACGAATTAAGGACTATACATCTAGTAAAATGTCCATTTTGAATAAGTTCTTGTAGTAAAATAAAGCCTGAGTTGTGCTTTTGTGATAAAAAGGCAAAGCTTTTTGTTTGAACAGTAATATTGGTGTCTAAGTCCACTTGGTTTGGGAACTGATATGTGCATGAAACAATACAAAGCATAACTAGCTATTCTATTTATATGTAATATGCTGCATGAATGAATGATGACAAAGCATTAGCAGCTCACCAAAACTGGGTGCACTGTGGAGGGTCATGTCCCGGATGTCCCGGGCCTCTTCCCTGCCACCTAGAGAGACCATTTCCATGAGAAAAGAGGGGGAAGGGTCGGGATGCTCGGGTAGAATTAACCCCCAGGTCCGTATTGGGGCTTAACCCTCAGGAACGAAAAACATGTCAACAAGTCAACTATTTAATTTGCCCCCAGGGACACGCCTTCCCATTGAACTATTGTCTGGGCAGTCCACAGCGTTGCCAGGGTGACCAAATTTTACAAGCCCATATCTAGCACATAATGGACGCAAATGGGAAGCTTGAAGACATCATTAACTGGGAGAATTGCGGTGTAAGTGTCTCTGTGTAAGAAAGACATGCATAGCCCAGTTGTGTTCAGCTGCAGGTGTCTTTAAGGACAAAATCCTCTGCAGTACAAATGCTTTGTTAACATCGCGCCTCAGAAATAAACATGTGTAACATTTAAACTTGTGCAACTTGAACTAAATAAAGATACTTGATGTAAAAATGTGCTGAGTCAGACCATATTTAAACAGCTGTTTTTCTAAATGACTGGAAAAAACAACCATGTTGTGTCTGACCTTGACAACACAGCGGTCCACCATCGAGTCCAGCCACTCGATGTAGGCCTCGATCGGAGACTGCTCCTCCAGTAGACGGTCAAACTCCTGATATACTGTGACGAGAGGCAGAACGTCAGGTTACCTCGTATTTGACATCAGTGGGAAGTGAAAACACACAGACTTGGATGCAAATGGGGGGTTTTATGCAACATCTTCTTTGCATCTTTGACCTCTGCACCCATCAGGACAGATGACTGGAGATGCTCCACAGGGTGTTTCAGAGGAGAGTGAACTTGTTTAACCTTTTGGTCTCCATCATTAATGCTCTGACTCTTCTGGTCGTGGGAATGGTTGTCCATCCATGTGCAGCTTTTGTGTAACTTAAGAGTAATTCTCTGTCTGGCTGGGTGTGTTTGAGTGGAAGCAGTTTAAAGGCATGTACTTACAGTGGATAATAAGCTGCCTGTGCTCCTCCTGTGAGTCCTCCATGGTGTAAAGTGTCTGCTTGGTGATGCTGTTCAAGTCCACATTCCTCCAGTCCTCCAGCATTTGAAAGGTGATGTCTGCACTGTTTATCACGGTCCTCGATGCCTGGGGACAGATAAATCCACAATATTACTTACACAAGCATACCCATGTCCCTTATCAGCTGTGTTTGCTCATATGGATTTTATTAAAAAAATTCTGACCACGATAGTCACCTGGCATAGATGGTTTAATGATGTTTGCCGCTTCAGAATCTGAGAAAATCTCCTCGACACTGAAAACAAAAATGGAGAAAAAGTGATTAATCCTGTGAGGGACATCATTCAAAATGTTTATCTTAAAATAATAAATCCATAATTTCTTAGGATTTAACCCATCATGTTGAAATGCAGATTTCATACTCACATTCAAATTTGATATTTCTCAGGTTTTCAGGAAGGTCATGAAGTGCTATTTTAAGCCACTCATCGAGCTGTTTGGCAAATTTTCGAATGACTTGAGTCAAACTGTGTGTAAGGGAAAACAAAAATATATCTTAAAACCATTTAGTTTTATTTAATTTGGGCTGAAACTAACAGTTATTTTCATTATAGGTTAATCTGATGATTATTCCCTCAAATGACTTCTTTTGTCTGACCAAAACATAAAGATGCAGGTGGGCAAACTCAGTCAGCTGAGGAAGACTAAGATGTGGTGAAGTTAAGCATTTTTTGTTTAAAAAAAAATCATTTGTTCGATTAACTGATTTTGTTAACTAACTTCTCAATATGATGCCTTTTAATTTCGCTTAAAAATCCAGACCAGAATTTAAGGCCCTCACATTTTCAGGGTTTTTTTTACAGTCAGAGCAAAGTTAAAACAGAATGTTGCTGCAAACCTTTTAACATTTTGAAAAAGTAGAATCACATATGCCATAATTTTCATATATATTAGGTGACTGATCAGAAGGTGTGTTGTCATTTAGTAAGACAAGCTGTGGAACTACAAGATCATTATAGTATAGTTTACAGTTTAATATAGTAGCATGGTATTAATAACAACAAAAACATGCATGGTAGCCTTAAGATCGGTAAACTGAACTAAATGATGACCGTAGTGTTACTGTCAATGTAATTCACACTGCAGTAGTCAGAGTAGTGACCACCACACCTCATATCCGGTTTTAGTAACAACACACAGGAAGATGTTGCTCACTGAGAGAGCGAAGCTTACAACACTACCCACCTATCAGGCAGTGCCTGCAGGACGGTGGGCATCAGCACTCCAGAGATGGCCTTGTAGAGGATGGAATCACAAACTCCAACGATGTTCACCACCGTGGGGGAGCCGAGGACAGGGAGCATGTGGGGCGGCATGCCCTGCCAGAAGTGCAGCAGGAAACTCTGGACCTGCAGACGCCACAGACACACCACGACTTCAGTATTACAGGAAGCAGGATTTTTACATACAATCAGATTTTTGTTGAAACAGGTTGCAAATGTAGCAAGCCAGAATTGGACAAAACCTCATCAAAGTTGGCTCGAATAACAGTATCCAGTATCCTCTGACAGTGCGTTCTGTACATCATGATGAAGGTTGACACCTGTGGGATACAACCAAGTATTAGTTAATTGTATCACAAACCTAATAGCCTTTTTTCTTTTTGGGAAACTAAAAAGTGGTACAAAAACAAGAAAATAAATCTTGAACAAAGCATGTGAACCCATAAATACATGTTGCAGGTTTCGGCTAGAGCGAAGTGAAATAAAACAAGCTTTAGAGATCAGCAAAACACAAACCATTTAAAATCATGGCCCCTCTTTAAAAGCCGGACAGCTAGTGCCTGTGCTTTGTCCGTTGCTAGATCTTATTATCTCCCCCAAAAGATTAAGAGTTTTTGAGGAGCCAGCATATAAATCCTCAAGGTCCTCCTCTAAACACAAATCCAGTGAAGGTCTCAGGGCAGATAAAAGAGCCAGAGGGGGCGCAGAGACGGTGAGATGGCATGGAGAAGTGGGAGGAGGGGGCTGTGAGGATGGACTTTTAAAACTCTTGTTTACCCTCTCTTCTGGCAGGCTGGCAGGCAAATTTAGGTCTTTGACATTTGGAAACTCTGGCAGGAGCGTCCCCAGTTTGGAGCGCGGTGAATATGCCACTGTCTGCTTCGTGACCTCTTTCTTCCCAGTCTCGTTCACCCACGCCGCTCCCTTTTTGGAGTACATCACATCATAATACTGAGAGGTCTCCTTCACAGCTATCCCGTAGTAGTGGTACCTGAGGATAACAGACGGTGCACAGTTTATTCTTCCCTAAACAATTGAAAGCAACATCACTGTGAAAGAAAAACATGGAATAGAAAAATAAAATATTTGGACAAATTTTATTTACACATTGAGTGATGGCTTTCTTTTGTCAGAAAAACTCATGCGTATTAGTCAATTTCAGCCTTTTGCTACTGTCATCAGTGATAAAAATGCTTTGTATCACGATGGGTTAATGCAGATTTCCAGTTAATTATGTAGAAACACTGAGTTTCTGGTAAAAACTCAGACTCAGAAACTCATTTTATTCCTTCATTTAAATTTTGCATGTCCATGCTTGCTTGAATTTGAGAGAGTTATGTTTAAGACTCAGAATAAAACCAAACCAACTTACTTCGACTGGCCTCTCGTCCCCAGTCTTCTGGTGGTTAGTGCTGGAAACTGCTGCCTTATGATCTGTTCGTAGTAGGAGAGAAAAGGTCGTCAGTGTGCCTTAGCTACCCAGAGAAAGGTTCAGCCTGTTATGAATTATATCAGATTCAAGTCAGCCTTTCACATGAGTTTATAAAAGTAAAGAGAAAAAGAAAGCACAGTGGCAAGGAACCAAATTTTTATGAAAGTTGTATTTTTTACTCACTTGAAGAAACCACTGTATAGCAGAAAAAGAGTAAAGGTTCATTTTACTTAGAATCTGTGATCCACAGTAAATACATTACACATGAAATAACAGAAAATACTGTCTTCATTTCTCTATAACAGAGTTTGTCAGGAGGACAACATGAACGTCTCAGCCGTGTCCAGGGAGGTCTGTGAGAGGAAAAAGTTTGGAGAGCCACCCATTTATGACATCCTGGGTGTTACCTTTTTTTCTATATCAAGTCTCCCCTCATCCAACCACCCACCCAGACTCACTGCTTCTCCCTCTCTTTCTCTTCTCCACTCCCTCCTTCTTCCTTTCCTCTCTTTTTGTCCAAAGAGATTGGCTCCGTGGTCCAGCTCCTGGTGCAGAAACTTTAGCAAACAGTGTAGCTCTCCATTGTGTGGGATGAAAAAAGAGGCCAAGCTGTGAAGTTTCTGTCAGGCCGCGCTTGATAAATGAGCAGACAGGGAGGCAGTCCGGGCCCTCTCTCGTTTTTTTGTCCTGAATCAATGAAGCCTTCCTAAAGGACACCCCACACTGCTCCAGCCACTGATCTAACATTCCGCAACATCTCACCCTTCCAAATTTCCTTTAATTACACATTAATCCAGGCCCCTTCTCTTTTTCAATATCTTCCGACAGGAGCTGCGGAGGGGTGGGGGTGGGCAGGGTT